TCCGCCTGGCTGGCGCCTGCTCCGCGCTCAGCACAGCGTTCCGAGCGTCCCTCTGCGGGATCCGCGGGGCTCCTCGGGGCTCAGCGGCTCATGGTCTGGTCCCCGCGTCCAAGTCGCGCCGCCAACTGTTCTCGCGGGTCTGGCAACCCCTTTGTATAGTTAAAGTCCAGATCACAGCTCTAGCCACCGCCAGAGGAAGTAGCGGAAACAAGGGAGGGCAGCCCCAGATGTGGCCGGCTGGGTTGGGAGGGCTCTGGCAGCGAGGGGCGGGAGAGGGGGGCGCACTGGGGCCCGCCCCCCTCCACCCCACCCCCACTGGCCCTCCTCCTTTTTTCTCCGCTCCAGCGGAGAAAAGCCCTAGGCTTTTAGCTACTTCAGGCCTGTGTGTTCACCCTCAGTGCTACCTCTTCATCCAAGCCCCCAATCCTGGCACACAGCTCAGGACTCAGCTGAAACATCTCGTGAGAGCTGTCACCTTAGGCCCATGGTAGCCTGAGCTTGGAGGGAGGCCGGAGGTCAGGACATCCTGCGGTCTCTGGGCTGAGAGGTGGGTTGGGGTGGCCACAGTCATGATCAGAAGCACCCATAGGTGGTCAGAGATGGAGCTGGGAAGGGGAGAGGAACACAGAAGGGAAGAGAAAGATGGAGACAAAGTGGAGAGGCCCATTAGCTTCTTGCTTCCCTCCCTCCTCCCTGGCTCCTTCCCTCTTCCCCATCCTCCCTTATTTCCTTCTGAAAGACTCTTAAGTGTCTACTTAGCATCAAGCCCAGCTCTGCTGGAGATGCTGGATGCACTCTCAGTGCGCCTCTGTCCCCCAGGGGCTCCCCCTCCCTCCCTGGGAGAGACAAAGAAAAGATAAGCTGCCCTGGGGAACTCCAGCAGGCTGTGGGAGTTCTTGGCCTCAACCCCTAATCTGTTACAGACAGCCGGAGAAGAAGAAGCGACTTCTGAACAGATGCCCGGAGAAATAAAGAGACAGATTCTCTGGGTGGGGTGAAGTTCCAGCAAGATTCACTGGAGAAGAGAGTTCCCTCCACCTGAAAAAGCAGAGGGGATGGATGGAGGGGTTCACAAGGACCAGCCTGGTGTGGGAGTGGAAGGGACAGGTCTGAGGGGTGAGGTCCTGGGGCAGACCGGGTCCATAGAGATCTGCGGGCAAAGGAAGGATCCTGGTGAGGAGTCCTGTGTTCACCACACCAACGGCCTCTGCAGCTGGGTGTCAGCGGGCTGCTGACAAGTACAGGCTTGCCTGGAGGGCTGCACCGCTGGCTGCCCCAGCTGGCCCCAGAGGAGCCTCTGGGAGGGACCGGCAGGCCGTCGGGAGGGAGCAGCGGTGAGCTGGCCTGTCCCAGAGAGAAGCCTTGGCTGGTCTTGGAGGGCGAGGCAGAAGTCAGCTGGGGAGGGGGATTGCCTCTTGCCCCTTGACTGGCTCGCGTCCACGTCCTGTGGATAGCCAGAGAGCCGAGTCGGAGAGCCAAGAGCAGGGAGCGAAGATGGAAAAAGTTGTCTCACTACAGCAGGGTTTGAAAACTCGTGGCCTGTGGGCTGAATCCAGCCTGAACAGCACTTTGAAATTTGGGAAACTTTATGTAAAAATCAGGCTTTCTGGTTTTCTCTGAAAAATTCCTCCCCAATCTGGCAACACCAGGTGCCAATTTCCATACGGCAACCATCAGCTGGAGTGCGGCGGTGGCCTCCCTTCTCCGAGGCACAGGCTTTGGTGTGCCACAGTCCTCGCCATTCTCTGCTGCCTCCGGCTGGCTCGCTGCCCTCAGTTCTGCTCATTTACATCACTTGTCCGGCTTGAGCTTTTCCCAAGAAGTTATTGTAAGACATGAGGCTGCTCTGGCACACAACAGGCAGCTGTCACCGCTCTTCTCCCTGACCTCAGCAGTCTTAGCATTGCAAGGGCGCGGGTGTTCAAGTGAAGGTACTTGGTGCCCGCTGAGAGATGGCATCAGCCACAAAAGTGGCACCGCCCGGCAGTGAAAGCCCTGGACCGGGACAACATGGTGGTCGCGGACCTGGTGAACAGACGGGATGCACTGTAGTGCCGTTTGCACGTGTTTGGAGCCCTCTTCTCCTGCCTGGTAACCTGGGAGCTCCCTGCTAATATGGCAAAGCCACAAGAGGAGAGTAACAGGCCCACTACTGACTTTGCGTGTGAGAACAAAACTTTTAAATCATACAGTTTTGAGGGGCAGGGGTGGATTTGCTATCACAGCATCTTTTAGCCAATGCTAATGCAGATGTAAGGAGGCTGTGGAGTGGGTAAGACTGTGTCCCCTAGTCAGACGTGTTCAAGTCCTCACTCCATGAATGTGTTCTTCTGTGCAAATAGGATCATGGCAATTATACCCAACCAAGAGGAGATCACACTGGGCGATGGCTGACCCTTCTCCGATCATAAGGAGACACAGGGGCAATTCCGTATGTCCCTGGTGGCAAAGGCTACAGAGAGGCAACTGCAGGGTAAGGAAAGCTGGCCACCACCGGAAGCTGGAAGAGCAAGGAGGAACTCTTCTCCCAAGCCTGCAGGGGGACCCTGGCCCTGCAGACCTCTTGATTTTCTTGATTTTGAACTTTGAGAAAACACATTTCATTTGTTTGAAGCCACACAGTCTACAGACTTTGTCACAGCAGCCCAAGGAAACTACCAAGGAAGGGCTGCAGCTGGAAGACGTCAGGATAGGGCATGACTTTCATCCATTCCGGAATTCTAATTTTCTTTTGTTTTTGTTGTTTTGATTGATGGATGATAGATTGATTGATATTGATTGACTTTGTACTTGGGGTCAAATCCAGTGCCTTCACATCCCCAGCCCTTTTCATTCTTTTCGAAAGCCTTTCACTAAGTGACTAAATTTCCCAGCCTGTGCTCAACCTTATGCTCCTCCTGTCTCAGCCTCCCACAGGACTAGCATTACAGGTGTGTGTCCTTGTGCCCAGCTTCAGAAATTCTTAAATGAACACTATCCCAGGTGCTGGGGCACAAAACACTAGGAGACAGTTCACCCTGCTAAAGGCACAGAGCGCATCTCTGCAGAGCTAGGTCAGGCCTGACTCTGGGGAGGAGGGGGAGCAGTCCAAAGCCAGCCACCCTAAGGGTCTGCTCAGAGACAGTGGGGGTGATGCAGGAAAGGAATTTGCTTAGTGCAGCCATGCTGAAAAAAACAGGGGGACCAGTGTGCTGAGCTCTTTCTCTGGGGCATGGAAAAGAACTTCAGGGTTACGAGGGGCAGGACAGAAGCAGGGCAAGGAGGCCTGCCAGGAAGAATGTGGAGTCGTCCAGCCTTGGTCACTGACCTCAAGTCTGGGTTTGAGAGGTCCTCTTAGCACTGGGAAAGTCGTCATCGCTGAGAGGGCGTTCAGATGATCGCTCTGATCTCCGGTGGGAAGCAACCTTGGTTCGGTCACAAAGTGTGAGCCAGCAGGGTTTCTGCTCCTGGAATTTGAGATCTGCTGGGAGGGACTCACCCGGAGAGCACGTTAGAGAGACAAAATAGAGTTAGTCAGGTCAATAGTGGAGTCCTCCTTCAAAATGGCAATGCAAATCCCCAGACATGAGAAGGCAGGGCACTGGGGAGGTCTTGGCTATCTGCCATCTGGGCCTTTCCAAGACCCTGTCTTCTCTTGGTTGCTACCTCTTATTTTTCCTTTGGGGAATCACCTTACCCAACTCCAGGTCTGTGAGGTCCAGTAGATGTCACCTACTTCCTGGCTGATAAATTTGGGGACTTTCCTTGAAGCTTATGGGGTACACTTGTACTTTTTGGTTGGAGATGAAGTTGCTGGCTCAGAAGAGAGGTGAGCTTTGAGATCAGGTCACCAAATAGAGGAGACCCAAGACACAGAGAGAGAGGGAAAGGAGCAAGAGACAGAGAGAGATGGGGGTGTTGCTCAGCCCTGCTCTTTGCCAGAAGGAATGAGAACTTTTAGTCTGTGAGCTAATAAATACTCTTATTTGACTTAAGGTTTTGTTTTTGCTTCAGCTTCTTTGGGTTGAGTTTCTATCTCTTGCCCCTGTGAGTCTTGACTGAGGCAGCTGGGAACTTTGAGAACAGGGGTCAGAGAAACCTTCTACCTGGGGTCCCTGTCCTCCCCTATTCTGTCTCTGCCCCTCAGTCCCAGAGGTTCAGGAGTGCCAGGCCACACAGCCTTACAGGAGCAGAGCAAGGCCTCCCCCAGGGCCAGGGAAGAGCAAGTAGATGTAGGTTTCCACCCTGGAGCCCCAACCCAGGGACAAGGGTTACAGCTTCAGGGGGATTCTGAAGGCTGAGGATGCTCTGCTTAAAACCTTTCACCAACTCTGACTCTCAGAATAAAACCACAATCCCTCACCCTCCTCAGCCTGCGTGACCTCTCATAGCAGTCAGGAGACCAGGAAGAAGAAGACGGCCCTTCTGCCCAGAACAGCATAAATGGGGACAGCTTGCTAACCAAGGGATTAATTCCAAAGCATGTGGGTGGCACTCAGGGGAGGCCAAGGGAACAGAAGCACAAGACTGGCACATCCCAGGCCCAGGAGAGACAGATATTGTAGCCCAAAAGGAGAGAGAACTTCACAGAGCAGGGCCTTGCATGAAGTAGCCAGGAAAGGTGATTTCATTGTTCTCCTTCCCTCTGATCTCATGCTGGGCTCCCCATGGCCTGAACCCCCACACCAGAGGCACAGGAGCCATTTGGTCATGCAGTCTGAGGGCAGGGTAGGTGTTTTAATTACTTTCCTCATTGCTGGGACAAAGCACCCAACACACAACTTAAATGAGGAGAGGTTTATTTTGGCTCACGGTTTGTAGTAGTTTCAGTTCATACTCTGCTGGCTCCGAGGCAGCGTGGCGTGGCAGGCAGAAGGGCATGGCAGAGGAAAAGTACCTTCATAGCTTGGCAGCAGGAGCCACAGAGAGAGATCAAGCGAGGAGCGAGGCAGACATATCCACCCAGGCCACAGTCCTAGTGACCCACCTCCTCCCACCAGGCTCCAGCTCCCAAAATCACAGTTGGCTGTAAACAGATCCATGGACTCAAGCGCTGATAAGTATCACACTGCTGTGAGCGGATCATTCCCAAAAGCCCCACCTAGGAGCACATGAGGCTTTGGGGAACTCTAGCTGTAAACCAGAGCAGCAGGGCTGGGTGGAAGGTGAGACAGAAGTGCTCTACAGGACTCTGACTCCTCTCCCAGTGCACTTTCCCTTGCTTTCCACAGTGGCTACACTGCCCTCCTCTCCATTC